ATTGGGCAAATCTGTTGTAAAAGACCTCTTTCAAGTGCTGAAGAGCAAAGATATCTCCTTGAAGACCAATATCCACTTAACCCAAACCATGGTATTTTTGATCACCTCATATGCATATGAGAGTTGGACAATGAATAAGGAAGACCAAGGAAGAGTTGAAGATGCTTTTGAGTTGTGGTGTTGGCAAAGAATGCTGAAAGTACTGTGGACTGCTAAAAGAACTAACAAATCTGTCCTAAAAGAAGTGTACCCATAATGCTCCTTGAAAGCAAGAATGGCCAGACTTCGTCTTACCTACTTTGGTCATGTTGTCAGAAGGGACCATTCTCTGGAGAAGGATGTCATGCTTGGTAAGGTTGAGGGTCAGTGAAAAAGGGGAAGGCCCTCAACAAGATGGATTGACACGGTGGCTGCAGCAATGGACTCAGGTAGAGTAGAGATTGTGAGGCTACCATAGTACCAGGAAGTGTTTCGTTCTGCTGTACATGAGGTTGCTATGAGTCGGAGACTACTTGACAGCACCTAACAATAATAACAACCAACAACTCTAAGTGCAACCATTGTCCCACATGCTCCTAATGTAGGGTATTACTGAGGAGAGGTGGAACATTCTCCTTTAATTTGTATTTCTCTCATCATTTGCCATGCCGATAATCTTTTCATATTTTAATTATCCATTTTAGCTCTTATAATTCCTGCCTATATTCTTTTCCCTTTTCAGTTAGGTTATTTCTCCTTCTTTTTTTTTTTTTTTTTCAATTTGTAAGACCTGTTTGTATGTTCAAAAAAGTACTGAGGAGGAGCATGTATTCTCTCATTTAACCCTCATGAAATCATTAAACAGATAATTAAAGTAAACATACTACTGTATTCAGAGAAGAGGAGCCTAAGCATCTGGAGGTCCCACAAGCAGAAAGTGGCAGGAACTGGATGTGGAACCATGTGGTCATAGTCCAGGACTCACCTTCCTAACCATCACATACACGTCAGAAGCCTCAACCAGTGGCCCATTCTCAAGGCTACCTTTTCCCCTAAATCTTATTTCCCTTTTGACTTCATTCAGGATGATTTTGTTCTGTCATACAGAAAAGTTAATTTTACTAATATTAAAATTAGTAAAGTTTATTTCTTTCTTTTTGTCTTTCTTGGTTATTTTTTATGACTAGAAACCAAAACCAAACTCACTGCCTTGAGTCAGTTCCAACTCATAGCAACCCTCAATGGATTTCCAAGGCTGTAAATCTTTACGGAAGTAGATTGCCTCATCTTTCTCCCAAGGAGCACACGGTGGGTGTAAACCACCGACTTTCTGGTTAGCAGCCAAACGCCTCAACCAACTACACCGTCAGAGCTCCTTTATGCATAGAAAGGCTGTCATATTAAAATTATGGAAATATTTATCAAGATTTACTTTTTAGTTGTTTCGTGACTGTAGTTTGTGCACTTAAATTGATCTAGAATTCATTTAGATGTAGCTTTAATTGGTATCTCATTGTTTCAAAGTTTCCTCCCTACTGCTTGTCAGACTGAATACTTGTTAATGAGTCTTCCTCCAATCCTGAAGCTACATTCTTCATATAGTCCAGCTTCTCAGATTATTTGCTCAGCAAACAGACTAAATAAATTTGGTGAAAGGATGTAACTCTGGTACACAATGTTCCTGATTTTAAACCTTACAGTGTCAACTTGTTCTGTTTGAACATCTATGTACAGGTTTTGCATGAGCACCAGTGAGTGTTCTGGATATCTGCTGTTTTCTTTTAACTTTGTTAATAGGATCTTTAGTCCTACAGAAGTTTGAGCATATTTATCTGATTAAATATCAATCTTTTCCTTAGTGGTTCTGGATTGTATGTCTTTGCATGAAACAGACAACTAGTTATCCCCCAGTTTACATACATCCCTTTTTCTGTTTTTAAATAGAATGCTGGCAGGGTGTATGGCTGCTCAGCAAGAGACTAATTGATGCAATTTTTTACCAGAGCTGATTGTTACAAATTCTCGTCAGTGGCATATGGATGGAAGTAATATGTGTGACTCCTCAGTGTTGTCCTTATGATGAGGGCATGTAGTTCCTCTTGCTCCCCCTGCCCCTAGGCTGGAACACCAAGCCATCTTCCACCATGGAGACAAGGGCAATGCCATCCATTGGAATGGCAAAGCCACACAAGACATATAACCTGGGTCCTCAGACAACATCCAGGAATGGAGCTGCTCACTTGCCTTGGACAGTCGAGACTCTGTTATAAACATTTATCCAGCTTGAGCCAGGTGTTCAAGGGACTCATTGTTACAGTAGCTTAGCCTATACCTTGACTTGGGAAGACTTCCTTCATTCAAGTTTATTTTTAAAATATTGTGGAAATATCGACTACAAAATTTTCAGAAGACAATATAGTAGACCACTCACTTCTCTAGAACCCTGTTGACAGTCACACAACACATCCCTCTCTGCTCTGCCCTCCCTGAAGGTCCCCCCGCCCCCGTCCTCTGCCCTGAACACACCTTCTCCAGGGACGGGCTGTCGAAGCACTCGATCTGGTTGTTCAGTTCCTTGCTCAGGCGCAGGCTCCAGCTGGACCCCCGGGTCTTCTTGAGGGAGTTTCTCAGAAACTGGGAGGGGGGACAGAGACATTGGTGGGTGGATCTAAGGGCACTGGATGTTGCTGCGAGTACTAGCTTGTTTGTCCTGGGCCCCTACCCAACCTCTAGATCATCTAATCCCTGCAGCCCTGATCCATGCCCTGTGTTCTGTGGTCTAGGCAGGAAGTGTGGCTTTGGGGGCTGGAGGGAGAGGTGTCGACTATCTGCTGCTTTCTTGAGCACTTGTTTCTGGCATAGAAGGTGTTTCTAGCTCTCCCCATGGACACACCTGGGACTCCCCAGTCTTCTCCAACAGAAGGAACACATGTCCTTTAAGGGCTCCTAACTTTCCCACATGCCAACCCTGCCAAATGTCTACTCATGCTTGCCCCTTCTTCCCAACCTCAGCCTCAGCAACCACAATCACCTCCCTACCTGAATTAGCTTGTCTTCCCAGGTTTTCTGATTCCAAGTGAACTCAGTGTGTTCTGCAGAAAGAAAGGTATCACATCCTGCTTTCTCCTGCTGCCCCCTCTGGGTTGGTCTCCTACCCTGGCGTCCGAGATGGGCCCATCATACGGCATTTCCCTCTTCAACTGCCCTACTTTGATCAGTCAATCCCCAGGACCAACATAGGCTTTATGGGTCCATCTGAACTTTGGCTCCTGCACAATGATGTGGAAGGGATGGTTGGCATGGAGGGAATGGTTGGTGTGGAGTGGAGAGTTGGTGTGGAGGGGATGGTTGACTCAGAGGAGAGTATTGGTATGGATGGATAATTGGCATGGAGTAGATGGTTGGCATGGAGGAAATAGTTGGTGTAGAATGGATAGCTGGCATGGAGTGGATGGCTGGTAAAGAACTGATGGTTGGCATGGAGAGGAGGTTGACATAGAAGGGATGGTTTAGTGTGGAAAGGGTGGTTAGCATGGAGTGGATAGTTGATATGGAAACGAAGTTAACATGGAGAGGATGGTTGGTGTGGAGGTGATGGTTGATGTGGAGTAGATGGTTGGCCCAGTGCACCGCAGGTGCCTCACCTTCTAGGTACTGGACCAGCAGTGGGATCTCCAGCTCCCACATGTCAGCCATGGCAGGTGCAATGCTCTTGCTCAGGGTCCGCAGGAGGTTGAGCATGGCAATCCCACGTCCTTCGCCCTTGTAAGGGGATGACATCAGCACCTGGAGGGGCACCAAGGCTTGAGTGGGGCCCTACCCAGGCACCTTGCTCCTTGACTTGATGCCACAGTCCTCACTTGTAAAGAGAGGAGTTGGTCGAGATGGGTATTTTCAAACAGACTGACAGGGATCTCCAGAGACAGAGAGCCCCCCACCCCAATAGAGGACCCAGAGGGCACTGCAGGGAGGAAAGGGGGAGGAGAGGCAAGACTCTGGCCCCTCCCCATCCCAGGCTTCAAGGGAGCAAGTATTAGCATCCACGGTTAATTTAAATGTGCAGACACACAGTGAAGGACTGAGCTCACCCTAAGAGCTGGCCACTGGAGAGTCCCAGGGGTGCTCCGTGTTCCTTACCTGGGAGCAGGCCCCTACCAGTTCCCCAGCTGTCCAAGCACAACGACCTTTCACAAACACCCAAGAGAGGTAACAGGGACCCAGAAAGTTCTCTCCTGCCAAGTGTCCAGCCCCTTTGGTAGACCCTGGCTTCCTCTGGGGGTTCTGGGAGAGGTCCCACAGAGAATAGCATTGCCCCCTGTGAGCCACTCACCAGCAGCCGAGCCAGCAGCTTCTGTGGTGCAGGCAGGTCCACTGTAGAAAGGAAAAGAGACAACCTACAGAATGTGACCCAGTGGTTCCAAGGGCATATTACCTTGCAAGGGGCTCACCTGCCAGGACCCCATTAATCCCCAGGATGGAGGAGGAGTCTGCCCAGGGGATTTCCCACAAAGGACCTCATTGTAAGCAACTCATCCTGGGAAGAGAGATAACCATATTAATGAGGTGGGGTCCAAAATGTGCTATTTTCAGAGCACAATCAAGTGGTGGACATCAGGATCTTCAAGACAATATTCTGTCTCTTGCCATGAGCCTTGACCTCTCGTGGGCCAACAATAATTAGACACCTCACCCTGCACCCTGGCCCTCTATAAGGGCTTTGAGAGTTGGTAACCTATGACAAGCAAACCCCAAAGCCCTGGGATGAATGAGTAAGGGAGGAGCCATGCCTGCTGAGAAGTTGCAGGTCAGAGGGTTGGACACAGTAGAGTTCAAGCCCTGGGTAGAGGTCAGGAGGAGAATGGCTCTGAAGAATGGAGCCAGCTAGTCAACCACCCTCACCAGCTGGGCCAGGGAGCTGCCCACCATGCCTGCTGTGGCTGGCCATGTTGGTCCCTACGTCCTTGCCATGGAGCTGATGTTCTGCCAGGTTGGTCAGGCTGATGCAGATGGAGGTCAGGGCCTCTGTGTAGTCTGTCTCCATGACATAGCACAGGAGCCTCACCCAAAACTCCTGGAGTGGGAGGGGCAGTTGTCCAGGATTAGCTGGGGGCATCATCCCATGACCATCCAAGGGGAGCCATCAGGCTCCACCTATAGCCACCTAGAGTTGTCCACAGACCACCTTGGCTCCAAACTGGCTCCATAGTCAACTGTGACCTTTGTCAGAGCATCTAAGTGTCACCAACTATGATATGGCATGGAAAAGCTCCATCTGGTCCCTGCTGAGCCTTCAAGCCCTCTGCACAGCCCCTCTCCCCCTGCTACCCTCACACTTATCCCATGCCCATGACATCCTGACTTCTTCTGACTCCAAATCCTCTCAAAGCACAGGCTAGGCAGACGGCTCATCTGTGCTTGCTGCTGACTTTAGAGCTGTGACCTTGGAGTTGTCTCTAGCCCTTGACCTTCAGTGTGTCTCATCATTCTCTTCCACCATGCCTCTCTTTGGTAGGCCATTGAACACTCCCAGCTAATCCTGGCCCTCCTTCTCCTTACTCCCACCCCAAAAAGTTTGGGGTGAGGCCCCCATACTACCAACTAACAAGGGCAAGAGCTTGACCTATTCCAGCTAGCAGGACTAGAATCCCCCACATTTCAGGCAGTAAGTCAATTGATACTTATTGAAGTCTACTGTGTGTCAGGCACTGCCCTAGCACCTGGGGATACAGAGAGGAGTAAGTTCAAAGAACCTGCTATGGAACTGGGTCATGAGGATGACAACTCAGGCATTTAGAATAGGAAGGCACACCGGTCACCCCAGGCAGTAGGGATGGGAGAAGCAAAGTCAGGGAGTCTGTGCATGTGTGCTTCCCCAGACAGCCTGGAGCAATGCAGACATGAGCTGTGCCTGGGGGGCCCCAGTGTGCCAGCCTGGCAAGGGAGACATTGGCAAGAGTCACTCACATTGGCCATCCCGCTGACGGAGGAGGTGATAATTCTCACAGTGTCCATGGTGACTTTGTGGACCATCTTCTCCTCCAAGTCCCTCTGATAAAAGGTCTCCCGGCGATTTGTCTGGAAGACACAGAGAGAGCCAGTGTTGGTGGCTTGTTAAGGGCTGTGGTCTTGGGTATGGTCTCCTCACTTCTATGGGGCTTGATGCCCAGATACTGGGTCTTCAGGAGGCTCAGAACTTGCTTGTGAATTTTAGATTCATGCACATCTTTACCTGCCAGCGTGCTGTGTGTCTGTGTACATGTGTCATCAACGTATATGCATGTGAGCTCATGTACATGTACACTGTGTGGTTGGCTTTCCTCAGTGCTGGGGAAACCATAACCAAAGTCCAGCTGCTGTGGGGTCTGCACAATGGGGCCACTCACCAGTTTGTAGGTGGACAAGGTCAGCTGCACTGACACATACTTCAGGCCCCAGCCTTTGATTCTGTCCTGGTAGCCAGAAAGTGCCAACTGGCCAATGATACGGAGAATGGCCATCCTCACCTGAAGGGACAGGAGGTGGAAAGGCAGAGGAGCGGGTGGCTTCAGGGCCAAGAGACTCGGCGCCTAACACTCAGTCTGGTGACATGGGACACCTAGGAACTGGGGACATTTTGGGTTGAGAAAGCTCAGGGGGCAACTGGCTACTTACTGCCCACACTATCCACTCCCTACTCCCTGTGCCATTCACAGGATCCTTCCCTGCAGCACTGTCACCCAGGATCCTCCTCTGAATCCTACAGACAGGGAGCTCACATCCTCCATGTTGGCTGCTCATCTTTAGGCAGCTCTGGTGGGGAAGAGTGCCTTCCACATTGGGTCCCCTTGGGCTCACCACGTGAGACGTACTAAGTAGGGATGGCACAGAACAAGCCTGTTCTCTCTTCATTACTTTGCCTAAATCTCCAGGAAACATTCTCCCATCCCCTCATCTTCTCCCTCAGTATCCATGTGCAGACCCGCCCCACCCAGGACTCCCCTGTCCCTGCACCAGTTGTGGCTCAACAGCGCCCCTCACAGCCTGCAGCCCAGAACCACAGCCTCACTCCAAGTTGTACCAGCCACAGTGCAGCCTGGGATAGTGGTTTTTAACTGCGTGTTTGGAGAGGGAGATCATCCCTCAGTCACTTTTCCAAATGAAGTCGAATCTTATAAACACCCTAAACAGCTGAACAAACACCTGTGGCTCTTGTTGGGTTTGCTCAGCCTCCCCTCTGCCCAAGATGGTGCCTGAGACTCAGCCTTTGGAGAATCCAGGTCCCAGGTAAGCATGGGGGTCTCGAGAGTGTGAACCACAGCTTTTAGTGGCCTCACTACCCTCCACCCCTGCCAACTACTGAGTGGGAAACTGGGCTTTCCATCAAAGGTGTTGGCTTCAATCAATGATTATGGTTGATGGCTGCAAGACATGACTAATGTCACTGATATCATTACATTGTATGCTGAAAAATGTTAAATTGACAAAAGTTGTGTTACATATATATTTACAACAAAAAAAAAATTTAAGTGTTGGCTTGAGGAAGCCAGTGGTGCCTTCTACCCCACGGAGCTGGACAGGCAGAGAAAGCTGTAGGTTGATGGAGAACCTGCCCCTCAGATCTCAACATCCTGACAGAATGTCCCTTGAGCCCCTCCCCCTCCCAATCTCTGCCCTATTACCTTAGACCTGGTATCGGAGAGGTTGTTCTTGACTACCCTGATGGCCAGGTAGATGGTCCTCATATTCATTTTGGGCTCTGAAAGAGGAAAACTCACCTGGAGGCCACTGGTTTCAGGACAGAGCTCTGAGGGGAGAGCTCAGGAAAGACATAGCCCCAAAGCAGCAGAAGTGATGCTTCCTTGGGTCCCACCCACCATCTTCCTTAGGCAATGGAGCCTCCCAGGTCTCAGTCTTCTTCCTGCTCCACTGTCCCTACTCACTACCCATAAACTCAGGGACGTTTCCTGACCAGGCTTTCACCTCCCTCCCCTCACAGCCCCACCGCAGCCCTCTTCCCTGGCCCAGGTGTGATTGTTTTTATGCCTTACTCCCTTGGCTGCTACTTTGTGTGCCGCCATCTTAAGAGAAGCAAGTAGGACTGCTCTTGGGGGCAAGGTCTCCGCTTAAGGTCTCCTTTGTCCCCCTGCAGCTGAGAACAGAATTCTGGGCCCACGGTGGGTACAGGAAGGCTGCAAAGCACGGCCATGATGATCAAGACTCTGGTGCCAGGCTTGGATCCTGGTTCCACCATGTCCCCGCTGTGTTACCTTGTGAGAATTATTTAATCCCCGTGCCTCAGTTACCTCAACCACAAGTGATAATGGTAGCTCCCTCACAGAGCTGTTGTGAGGATGAAATGAGTTAAAGCAGCACCTGGCCCAGCATATGTGCTCTAGCCAGGTGTGCCAGTCATAGAACTGGTGACAGTGGACCCAGTTCAAGAAGTGACAACTAAGGAAGGCAGGAAAGAGCCATGAGAGGGATCTGGAGAGGTCCACTGTGGATGGAATTGCAGTTAGCCCCTAGTTGATGCTATGCTCAAGGCGAGGCATTGTTGGAAGTCAACATAGTGTGGCAAACAGGAAATGAGGGTAAGTAGGAGGTGGCAGTTATCAGGCATTACAGGATGATGTTACCATTTAGTCTTTTATCTCTGAGACAGAATTGTTTTTCTAATTATACATACACACACACATATATGTGTGTGTGTGTGTATATATAAATATATATATAAATATATATATATATATATATATATGGAGAAATATATATATACATATATTTAAAAATAGGAGCTCCGGTAGCATAGTGGCTAAAGCACTTGACTGCTAACCAGAAGGCTGGCGGTTCAAACCCACCAGCCACTCCTCGGAAGGAAGGTTGGGCAATCCTACTTCCGTAGTGATACTGCCTCGGAAACCCAAGGAGGGGTCGCTATGAGTCGGAGCTGACTCGACGGCACATAACAACATATTTAAAAATATATATATTTATATATGAAGCAAGTAGGACTGCTTATATATATATATATATATATATATATATATATATATATATATAGTTGTTGTTGTTATGTCCTGTCTTTCGTTTGGCTGGAAGCCACAGATGTGGGTTCAATTCCAGACCTGAAGGGCAGCAAGGGGACATAGTCTCAGGGGTTCCACCAGGCTCTATCAGACCAGCAAACCTGGTCGCTTCCCTTTTTTTCCAAATGATTTTGAGTTTTGTTCCACATTGTTCTGCTTCTCTATCCAGTATCCACTACATAGATCCCCCTCTGAGTGGTTGTAATCTTTATGGGAGCAGCTCTCCAGGTCTTTCTCCTTTGGAGCCTCTGACTGGGTTCAAACTTGTAACTCAGTTAGCAGTTAAGAGCTTAACCATTGTACCACCAGTCTCCTTGACATGTTATAATTTGGCCTTATACTCAGCCATTGGATTAGCTCTGTGGGATGGTACTAGGATTAGAGTTAGCCACTTCAAATTCAGGTTCAGTTGGAAGCTGACATTCAGAGTTTAAGAGAAGATGAGGATCACCATGTTGGCTCTGCCCAAGGATAGCAAATAAGAAGCAACAAAAATTGGTTGGCTGCCCTGGCCTTCCCACTAGTGTCTATAAAAGAAGACTATAGGCCCAGACAAAGTGAACTGCCTCCGCTACCTGCCCACCCTGCCCCTTTCTCACCGTGGCTTACCATCAGCGCTCACCACAGCCCTGATCAGGGTCAGGGTCCCCACGCGAATGTCCTCCTTGCTCATCTCCATTTGGTTGAGGAAAAACTTCATCAGCTCCTTAGGGTAGGAACGGGCTGTGGAGGGGAAGGGCCATGCTAATCATGCCCACTGAGCCCACAAAAGAGGTAGCCCAGGGCCCAAGGCTCAGAGGGGCCAGGGCCACCCAGAGAACCCCACGGACCCTGCCGGGTCAAGGCAGGCTGCAAGTGCCCCTCCCCGCAGCTCACCCAGGGCTATGAAGCAGTGCACGATCTCCGCCAGGTTCTGGCTGCTGTACTGCTGTTGGGCAGGCGCCTTGTTGCACACCTGGGGCAGGGGCAGTGTATAGAGAGGAGGTGAGGTCACAGCCAAACAGGGGTCTCAGGTGTAAGGGTATGTACCCAGTGGATGCAGGGGCACAATGAGGTGGGAGCTGCACCCACTGCCCTCTCAGCCCCGCAGCCCACCCTGAGGTGCTGCATCAGCTGGCTTCCAGCCTCACCTGGACATGCAGCTCCGTGAAGATGGTGTGCAACTGCATTGGGGGGACAGGGGTGTTGGTGGTGACGGACACCTCCAGGATCTGCCTCAGGACCTGCGATGGATGAGCTGGTGCTGACAGGCCCCTGTCTGCCCAGTGAGGTCCAGACCCCATGCCTGCTATGCAGGGGGCCCAGCAGTACCGGTATCCCCTGGGGCTAGTGAGAAATGCAGACTCTGGGGCCCCATCCCGGGCCCCCCAAGCCAACTCTGTATTTCAAAGAGCCCCTTCAATTCTGACTACCACTCATCTGTCAGTTTGTTGTGTTTTGATGGCTGGCGTGATGCTGAAATGCTGGATTCCCAAGCACAGGAAAGCTTGGGAAGCCCTGTGAAGGCCACTGAGCATGGCATTCGAGGCTTTCCCCAACTTCATCCTCTGCTCACCTGTATGCAAATCCCATTCTTTAGCCAAATTCACCCTACCTGGAGCACATCGCTTTTGTGCCTTTCTTGTGCAGCTAAGGCCCATCCTCCTGTAAGCCCAGAATCTGTGGCAGCCCCTCTCACAGGGGCAAGGCCACAGCTCTATAGAGGCCTCCAGGCCCTTCAGGATCTTATCCCTTCCGCATGCAACAGCAGCGTTTGTTTTCCACAAAGCCTTGTGAATGCCAGGTCCTATAACCCCACACGATCTGCCGAAATGACGCCAAACTACCTGATTTCTCACTGTCCACCCAGAGGATACCACCCCTGGACCCTGGGGAGCCTCATGTCTCCCAAGTTGGACCCAGGGCACAAGGGAGCCAGCCCAGGGCCCAGTGCTCAAGAAGGTAGCCCCTCTCACCAGAGTGGCCTCCTCACTCACCTGGGTAACCCTGCTCAAGTGGGTGGCCCTGCTCACCTGGGAGGGTCTGCTCACCTGGATGGCCCCACTCACCTGGGGGGCCCCTCTCACCTGGGTGATGAAAAGGGCCTCCAAGCTGCCCTGATACTCAGCCAGCAGCAGAGGGATGTAGTCATAGACTTGCTCCCGAAGCTCATCGCTGGGCAGCAGGAGGTTCAGCATGGGCCTCAGGGACTTGATGACCCCCAGCTTGACCTACCAGGAGATGGGGACCTTCAGCAGAGCCAGAGCTCTCAGCCCAGCCCATCAGGTCAAAGGACATATAAAGGAAGAGACTCAGAAGTGGAGTTAAGCCCTGCCTGGGGCCCAATGAGTGGGGTTCCAGCTCTGTCACTACTAGCCAGGTGACCGTGGGCAAAGGCTTAGCCTCTCCATGCTGTGGGTGGCATTATGTTCCCCACAATGATACACGGAAGGCCTTGCCCCTCTGCTGTGAAAGTGACCACGTTTGAAAGCAGGGTTTTGCTTTTGTTATCAGCTAGACTAAATGAGGTCCTACTAGAGCAAGGGGGGTGGCCTTAACTCTAATTCTTTCTGAATGGTGTCTTATAAAAGAGAGGTTCAGACACAGAGACAGGGTCACACACAGGAAGAATCATGTGAAGTTCCATCTATAAGCCACGAAACACCCAGGCTGCCATAACTGAAGGGGCCAAGGAAGGATCCTGCCCTAGGGCCAACAGAGAGCAGCACCCTGCTGATGCCCTGTTCTCAGAATCCTTACCCCCAGAACCATAGGACCATTTGTTTCTGTCATTTAAGGCCATCCCTGTTGTATTCTGTTACTGCAGCCCTTGGAAATGAAGACACTATGCCTCAGTTTCCCCATTTAGGAAATAGGAGTTCACATATAGGTAAGCTGCTCAGAACAGTACCTGGTACATAACAGGTGCCCTAGGACCCATTCTTGGAGTCATCATCAAGCCCATGCCACCATCTAGTGACACCCCTCAGGTCCTCATCAGAATCCACCTCTCAGTCACTTCCTCACTCTGCCACTGGCCAGGTCCCCAGTTCCCTGGGCTCCATTTTCTCACTGGTTTCTTGGGGCAGAGGCTGAGGCAAGCAGCCTCTGCAGTCCTCCCAGCCCTTAAGGCCAGGCATCGTGGCCTGGGAGAGCCAGGGATCCCTGAACAAGGTGGGGTGTCTCACCTCAGAGTTGTCACTCCTCAACCACACAGTCACAAAGTAGCGGTACATGGGAAACAGCTTGGTGGCAAACTGCTCCTCCGTCATCACAGGGTACACACTGTCCTCCAAGTGTTTCAGGTAGAACTGCACTGTCTCACAGAAGGTCTCCATGGCTGCCACAGCGGGAGGAAGCAGATGGACGCTTGCAAGCTACCTCCTCCCAAGGGAAGGCTCGTACGTGTCCATAGCAGGCAGGTCAGGAACAGTAAACCTACACCTGGAAAAACTCCCTCTGCATTCCTGCCTCTCTGCTCTCCCAGCCCCTCACAGCTCCAGAGTGTTTAGCCTGCAAGTCTACGTGCCTAAGAACCCTGAGAAAGGGGCCTGAGTACACAGATGTCCAGCCTCTCCCCTCGACGCACTGGTGCAAGCAGTCAGGGATGGGGGCTGGAATATAAATCTTTACCCACATGCCAGGATGCTCAGGGCAACAAATATGTTTTGTCGTCTTTTCTCAGGTATCAGGCTTTTTAGCCCACAAACACATTAAGTCATCAAACCCTGGGAGATCAGACTTAACTAGTACCAATGTTCATGTTAGCTGCTGTCCAGTTGGCCACAACTCGTAGTGAGCCCACGCACAGTGCAATGAAAAGCTGCCCAGTCCAGTGCCATCCCCATGACGGGTTGCAGATGGCACTGTGGGGATCCATAGAGTTCCCATTGGCTAAGTTTTGGAAGGAGATCACCAGGCCTTTCTTCCTAGCCTGCTTGAGTCTGGAAGCTCTACTGAGACCTGTTTAGCATCCCAGCAACACACAGGCCTCCACTGGCACACGGCAGTGTCTGTGCACAAGGTGCATTGGTCGGAAATCGGACCCAGGCTTCCTGCGTGGAAGGAGGAAAATTCTACCACTGAGCCACCGCTGCCTCAATAAACAGCACTGACCAGCTGCTAGAGAGTCGACTGCCATTCACGGCAAGCCCATATGTGGCAGAGTCTAATTCTGCTCTATAGGGTTTCAATGGCTAATTTTTGGGCCTTTTCTTCAAAGCCACCTCTGGGTGGACTCCAACCCTGAACCTTTCAGTTATCAGCCACACACATCAACCATTACACACACACACACACCCCAAAAAAACCCACTGCCATCAACTTGATTCCACCTCATAGCAACCCTTTAGTGACCATATAGGACAGAGTAGCACTGCCCTATACATAGGGTTTCCAAGGCTATATAAATCTTTACAGAAGCAGACTGCTTCATCTTGCTCCCATGGAGTAGCTGGTGGGCTCAAGCCATCGGCCTTTTGGTTAGCAGCTGAGACCTTAACCACTGTGTCACCAGACGGATGCCTACGTAGCATGGAAGCCATGCCCAAATCAAGCCCATGGTGGAGACATTTCCCCTGCCTCCCTTTCCTGTGACCCCACTGCATTCCCCTGGGCTTCTGAAATGTGGAACTGCAGAGCAAGTTCCAGGGGTCCCAGGGGCCGCTTCCTGCCTCTGGCTACTGTCTCTGAAAGGCACACACCCATCTCCCTCCTGCCTGCACGAAGTCAGAGATGGAGCAAATCCTTGAGAAGGAGTGAACAGTCCCAGGTAAAGCCCCCCATCCACACCCCTCCACCTGCTTCTTGCCCCACTTCCCATCCAGGGTCAGGGAAGACACGCACCCCCACAGATCACCTGGCGTATCTTGGCCTCATTGGCGAGTCTCAGCATCGTGAAAATGGTAGCCAGGGTGATGCCCATGTACGGCATGAACTCGAACACTGTGGGTGGAAGAGGAGTCAGCCAGGAGCAGACAGGACGATCTCAGTGCCCATCCTGACCCTGTGTCCTCCAGCTGATGCCCCATTTCTCTTCCCCCTCACAGTGAGTCTTCACTTGCTCTCCTCCTGTCTTCCTCAAAGTTCACACCCCCACCCCACTGTCCAGAGTGAGGGGGGCCCCTCTGCTGGGCTGTGGTCAGAGGACACTGAGTGCCAAGGAAAGGAATGAGCTAGCAACAGGTGAAGGAGAAAGGAGGTCCAGAAAGAGAGGAGGAGGAGAGAAGAGGCAGCCAAAGAGAAGCCCAGAAATAGCTGGAGACACAGCACCCCAGGAGAGGAGGGAAGAGAGGCAGGAAGTGGAGGAAGTGAAGGCAGCTAGTTTAGAAAACTTCTTACCTCTAAGGCCAGTTAAACTAGAAAAAGCCTCTTATTACTCCTAGGGATGTGGCCTAGGGACACCATAGGCATTAAACAAGCCACAAGATATGTTTAATTAGCCAACTAGAAAGAAACACCCCCACCCCATTTCCTGCCGACCCTACCACCCTCCCGTTTGTAGCCTTTAACTCTGAGCTGATTCCAGCTGGATTCAGGAAGGTGTGCAAAGGAAACAACTCTACCTCTGTGCTGCCTCTAGAAGGTTAAGACTCCTGTCAAGGAATTAAAAATCACTGGAACTACATCATCTGTGCTACACGGACCCATTTCAGAAGTGAGGGGTCTGTTGGCCACTTCTATGCCTGGCTATAACCCTATGAATAATGCATGACACCTCCCCCCCCTCCCAAAAAAAAACTTTGAATATGTAACTCCCCACTTCCCCACTTCCCCACAGGCTTTAATACTTCCCTAACTGCTTTTGTTCAGGAAGACAGTGCTTTGGAAAATATTTTCCCTGTCTTATTATTTGCTACCAAAAGCTCTGCTGAAAACTTTGACCTGCTTGCCTCTGAGTTATTCTTAACCAGAATACAAGCAGTGGACCCCCATTTTAGGTGGCATCAGAAAATTTGCCACCACGAACAGACTCCCCTAAAGTCCTGGAACCACAACCAGAGGAGGAGATCAGGCAGGGTCTCAACAGAGTGAAGGGACTCCCCACCACCACCACCACTTTATTCAGTGCCCTTTGGGCATAGTGAGTCAGTCATTCTCCATTCAGTTCTGTGAGTTTCCATAGTTTTTACTTTCACTTCCATTAAGCACACATCTGACCAAGGTGGGGGGCAGGCTTACATGTCTCCATCAGCTTGCAATTGGGAGACTGAAACCTCTCCACCTGGTAATTGGGTATTTTTAATCCTTTTGGGAGAAGCTCTGGTAGCATAGTGCCTAAGGCAATTGACTGCTAACCAGAAGGCTGGCGGTTCAAACCCACCAGCCACTCTTCGGAATTTCCGTAATGATACTGCCTTGGAAACCCAAGGAGGGGTCGCTATGAGTTGGGTCCAACTCAATGGCAAACAACAACAACAACTCTTTTGGGCAGGTCTGGCTTAGGGAGATAGGCTGGAAACAGGAGATAGAGCTCCTTTAGAACCAGGTACTGGAAACCTGGAGGAGGATTGCAGTGGAAAGAGTAATCAACTGGGAAAGTGAGCACACTTCTTTAACTGCAAGTTTTCTCTGTTTGAAACATCAACAAAGAACATAAATGGGGGATACCTCAAAGGAGCATTAGGCTTTTAGATTCAGGCTCTAGCCCACCAGCCACTCCTCAGAAGGAAGACTGGGCAATCTACTTCTGTAGAGATACTGCCTTTGAAACCCAAAGAGGGGACACTATGAGTTGGAGACGACTTGACGGCACATAACAGCAATGACAACAATAACAGAGCATTTCTGTACAAATACTGGGTATCATTATTCTCAAGAAAGTAATTACCAGTGGAATTGGAGAAACCAAACAGCAGTCTCCATGGTACATTATAAAGAAAACTAGGATCCTATAGAAGAAGAGATGGGAAATAACTCCAGCATACCAGAAAGTTCCCCTATAGAATGCATTCTCAAGAATTGGTCATTTTCTCTTGTGACAACTGAGAAGGAAGAAATTAGTTTTCTTTTGTAACCCAGCTTGGCCTCAGTACAGCTTAGGAGACCAGGAGAAATGGCCTCCTAGCGGGTCACTTAATTATAACACCTTCTTGCAAATAGACTTATTTTGTAAGAGGGAGGAAAAATGGGGTGAAATTACATATATCAAGGCCTTTATGGCCCTCTATCAGAAGGCTGGAGGTTCAAAACCACCAGCCACTCTTCGGAAGAAGGACTGGGCAATCTACTTCCATAGAGATACTGCCTCAGAAACCCAAGAAGGGGTCACTATGAGTCGGAATCAACTTGACGGCAGTGAGTTTGGTTTAGTTTGGTATCAGAATAAAGGACTTCAAGTTACATGCAAGTTAATTAGGGGGGCATTCACCATGGGGAAGGAAGAAAAAGATAAGGGTAAGACTATCCCAGAAGAGCCTGATATTCTTGAAGACCTAGTTCTAAACTCAGGGAAAAGACCTCTACCTCAGCACCCACATCCTCACCCCCAGCTTATGTCCCCTCTTTATCTCTTCATATTCCTTCTTCTACCACCCGGTGCCCTCAACTCCATCGTCAGCCCCTCCTACCCTCACTCCTTATTCTGGGCCTTCAGCCTCACTGGTCAGTTCCTCAACCAGACCCCCTACCAGTCCAATTGTGGTTCCACTTAGGAATCTGCACCTTACACTTGAGGAAGCTGTCAGCATAGGACATAAAGGGCAGCCCCTCCAGGAAATCACTGATGGGAGAAGAGGGATAACCTGAGTACATGTCCCCTTTTTGAAAATGTCTAAATGTCCCCTTTAGAAAGTGTCTAAAGACCCAGAGAGATTTAAAGAATTTGTGAAGCTAAGTTTTAAACTTGCTCTCAGTTGGTAAGACGTATTAGTTATCTTGACCACTTGTAGTTCCACAGGTGAAAGAAACAGAATAATAACTAGGACAAGAGGGTATGCTGATAGCTTAGTTCTCTTAAACCCAGGACATCAGATTATTAAACAAGAGAACAAGGTGGTCCCAGACCAAGACCCTTGCTAGGACCCTAATGAGCAGGACAGGACTAAACATTATCTAAGCTGCATAGTTGCAAGGATGCAAAAGAGTATCCACTGGCCAGTGAATTACAGGAAAGTCAAGGAGGTGAGGAAAACCCTACTGTCTTCATAAGCAGATTAACAGAAGGCATACCAATATCAGTCATGATGACCCCATCTCTGCCCCACTTATCAGGCTCCCTTTCATTGTTCAGAGTGCACCAGATATTAGAAGAAAGTTACAGAAATTAGAAGCTGGTCTCTAGACCCCTCTGTCCAAACTGATGGAGGATGCCTTTAAGGTTTTTAACAACAGAGATAAAACAGAAGAAAAGAAAGATAAAAAGCTGGAGCCAAAGGCTCAGTTGTTGACCTCTGTTTTCAATGGCCACCTCAAGGTAACCCTCACTTCTCCAGAGCTGGACCACCATGGGCAAACGCCCGGGCCTGGAGGGCCTCTTTTTCACAGCCAGCAAAGCTGCAGCTCCAGCAGTGTGCATACCACAGGCTGGAAGGGCACTGGAAAAGGGAACATGCAGGTTGACCCGAAAGAGATAGTGTGGAAACAAGTCCAAGCTGCAATTGCCACAGCTCTCTGAGGGATGAGGCCCAGGGAACCATGAGTCCAGCTTGTGTGAATTATCCCATCAATATTTCCTCTGCAGAACCTTGGGTTACACTTGACATGGTAGGTAAGAACATTCAATTTTTACTTGATACAGAAACTTCTTACTCTGTCTTAAACAAACCTATAGGTAAACTCACCATTAGGGACTGTGTTATTATTGGAGTCTTGAGGGTGGTCCAGACAAAAAGATTCACTTCCCTTCTAGAATGTGAAATCAGAACCCAAACCTTATCTCATTCCTTTTTTATACATATCTGAATGTCCAATTGCCTTACTAGGAAGGGATCTTTTAAGACAAATTAGGGGTCATTGCTTTCCTGTCTGGAGACCAAGTCCCTATAGAGGTCTATAAAAGCCAGGGCACTGGCTTCCTGAAAATGTTCACTGCTAGCCCCAATGTCCAAGTCCAACTAACAACTATTGTCCAGTATATTTTATCTCAAGTAACTTCCAAAGTCTGAGATGTCACTCAGCCTGTGCGGGCTAGTACAGTAACCCCAGTGAGAGTGGAACTGGCACCAGGGGCTACATTGCTCTATCGTAAACAGTATCTACTAACTCCCGAGGCTCAAGCAGGCATAAAACCAGTACTAGAGAAATTACTTAAGCAAAATCTACTAAGGCCTTGTCAGTCCCTGTGCAATACCCCTATTTTACCTGTAAAGGAACCTAATGATGAATACAGATTTGTGCAAGACTTAAGGACCATAAATGAGGCTGTGGCCACTACCCACCCCCTTGTGCCAAACCCCTGTACTCTGCTCACTCAGGTGCTGGGATCTACTACACACTTCATGGTCCTAGGAATCAAGGATGCATTCTTTTGCATTTCTCTCCACCAGTTTACCTGGAAAGTCCTTTCTCAGAGTTTTAGACACTCTCTGACTCTTTTCAGAACTGCAGTAAGCAAAGATTTAAGGAATTGACATTTTGGAGGGAGGTATTTTACTTCAATATGTGGATGGATGATATTTTGATAGCAAGTTGGGATCTGGCAAGTTCAGACAGAGACACTATGAAGACATTTAACCACCTTGCAGAAAAGGGGTATCAAATATTACCCCAAAATTCCAAAATATTAAAAAAGAGAAGTTACTTACTTAGCTTTCCAATTGTTTCCAGGTTTTTGCCAGCTTTTGCTTGAAAGGAAGGCAGCCATAATCTCCCTCTCCAAACCAACCACCCAAAAACAGCTCAGAGGGATTCTCAGTATGGCAGGGTTTTGTAGGATTTGGACTCCCAATTTTGGATTAATCACACAACCTTTATATGAGGTCCTAAAAGGAGAAGTGTCCCTCAAT